TCATTTCATTAACAATACTGCATACTATCGTACGTTTAATTAATTACACTCAATTAATCCCTTTCACTATTTTACACTCGTAAAATTTCCCATACCAAAATATCTCTAAGTTACACTAGAAACGCTCTAGACGGGTACAGGGGTGAAAGTAAAGTATATACGACGAGAAAATAAGCGTCGCTTCCTCTTCAATTGTACATGCAACCGCCTTAGGCAACTAAGATAAAAGGGATGTAATTCAAGCGCAACTTGTTGACTAGATCGTAAGTACTTTTTCTTCTCCTTTTAATTCCACCCTAGTGCTCTTCTGTTCTCTTTGGTCATATCTTTGGTATGACATTACGAATTGCACCATTCTACAGAATGCAATTCACTTTTTTCATTCTCCTTGCGCGAAACTCTGTCGCGCTAAAATAAATAAGAAATATCGTTCACAAGCGACGGAATAATTTGCTCGGTATGTCCAGCTTCAGCGTGTCGCACTATATATACACTCGTTACACACGACTTTTTATCATATTGCTGAAAGATCTTGTCTTGCTCTCGACAGTCGACGTCGTAAAGCAAATCCTGTCCGACTCCGTCGTAAAATAAAAATATGACTAGATGCAGCGAATCAACTTCGCGAAGTAAATAAATTGAGCAACAATTTTTTCGCCTGATGCGTTATTCGATTTTTCTTAAGTTCTATGCATGTAAATAATATATAATAAACTAATTAATTAATTGTATAAATAATAAATTTTATATAAAACTTTGTAGGAACTTTGGTAATAATGTAAACGATAAGTAAGGAACTCGTTAAAAAAAAAGTAATCTCGTAACTTCATATATGAAGTATTGTAAAGTTCGAATCAAAATAAAGCACGCAATTGATGTCTCAGAAATGATCGAATCTAAGAACGTTGATGCGGCATACACGATGCTATTCACCCGGCTAGAGAAATTGCGGAATCCTTAGCGGTTCGAGATGTAACTTACGCGAATGCGAAAAAAAGAATCGATAAAGTTTCGGCAAAATGTTGCAATTGACCGCGATCTTGTTCGCGCTTTTAACAACCGAGGAAATGATGTGTTCCATAATTCAGGGGAGTAGTACGACCGACCCTTTTGCCACCGAATGGTCATTTCTGCATTCAACAGGTGGTCCAGTTTACGTGAAATGTTGATGAAAACTTTCCACGAGCACCCCGCGTGTATTACACTAAGGATGCCGGCAAAAATCGCGCAGGTGCGCTTTCGCAAAGGACAATGCGCGAAAGACTGCTCGCACGCTGCGGTTCGCCGTGCGCGGAATACGCCTTGAACAAAGACAGACTAGCACCTCGTTTTTTTCGCACTAACGTAAAACATATCGTCAGTTCCTAATTATAATTATGAGATTATTTTTTCAGTAAGTGAGATCAACAGAGATCGACTCCGTTCGCGAGATTAAAAACCATCTTATCTTAGAAGCGGACAACGAGCGAACTCTCTTTACCGCGTCGAGCAAGGATGAATGAAAAAAGCGACTCTTAAGCTACGTAAGAAATGTATTGCACTTTCGTCTGCGATCGACTTTATCGCTGCTCATTCCGGGAGTATCTCGACTCGTCGTTTTTTTGCGAATTCACGAAGTGAGGCGCATCTCGGGATGCCATCGTATCGATCTTCCCAGCAAGAAGACGCCCAAACATAGTGAAATATTGATATCATTTTATGTCGGAGCATCTTCACGGATTAGACTTACTAAAATGACTAGTGAATCGAAATGCAGATCATCTCGCTTCCGTGGAAAAAAAGTTTCTCTTTCTCTTTCTCTCTCTCTCTCTCTCTCTCTCTTTCTCTCTATGCATTACAATAGTCGTGCGAGTTTCAAAACGTGTATGCTAATACTTTGAGAACAGTCCAAAGGACCATTTCGCGGAGAGATTTGAGTTCGTTTTATGCGGAACTTCACCGGGAAGTGGTCGCTCTTCGCCGGTGACGATTGAAAAACTAATAGTCGACTTCGCCGGAGTTGATTAACTTTAACTTCAGTTTAATCGATTCTTTGTTCCATTCTAGTCCTAGTTCTAAGAGAGCGTACAAAGGATCGGTTAAATTAGAATTGAAGTTCAACCGACGCCACATCGAAATCGTCTATTAGTGGATAAAAGTGGTACGGTGAAAAAAAAAAAAGTGATTTCGAAACGCATTAAGTGCACTCCTCATCCAGTGAAACTTCGCGAACGATGAAAAGTGCTTGTGTAATAATTCGTTAAAGGTGCGGCCCTCTCAATTTACTTCATCTTTTAAGCTACTTTACGTAAGAACCGAGTTTGACAGCACTGACATAGACGATCGTTCCTTAAAAATATTCCTCCCTTCATCTCACACTCGTATTTATCTTCACGTACCATCTTCATCCAATTAGCTGTTCGTGTTATTAGCAAGAGTTGTTGTTCGTCAAAAATTAACGCGGTAATTCCTCCCGAAAGGAGAGCGAAGCTCAATCTCTCAACGTCTCAAAGAGAGGAAGAGAGAGAGAGAGAGAGAGGGAGGATACGAAAAATGATTCTGGAAATAGCACAAATGCGCTCGGAGCGAAAAGGAGCGGTGAAATATTCAGAGAAACTTCTTCCCGCGAGAGGAAAGAGACGTGCGCGCGCGAGATCTAGAGACGCCGATATGTCAATTACCTTCTCGTCCTCGTTGCCGAGATTTTCGCCCTCCGCGAGTTTAAGACGACGAGTAAATCGAATTACTTTGCGCTTACCGAGAGATACCCGTTGAAATTGGATGTTACCGGAGATTCGACGTCTGATCGTCGTCCATGATGCATAAAAGAGCCGAGGCTCTTCTCAACAGCGACAGCGAGTCATTAGCCTGTTCTGTGATTTCGACTTAAAATTTCTATTGATTAATCGAAGCTCACCGCTTCGCCGCTCGTTATGTTCTTTCGTCATTTCGCTTGTACGCTCATTCAGAATAATACTCCGTCAATAAATTTAGAATGGTATTTCTATTCCAATAAATTTAGATAATCGGATCACAAATTAACCGCTTTGTGTGCGCGCGTGTGTTGACATTTTCTCCGCGAAAAAAAAAAAAACGCGTAAACTTTGACGAGAAAAAGAAAATAAATTTTGGTGAATCGAAGGAGCAAAAATAAAATATAGATCCATCCGAAATAAGATTCAATTTGCCGAATTGAGGTCTTCGAGAAATGTCGATATTTAATCAAATAGTTGGAATGAGAAAGGTAATATATATTTAAAAAGCAACACTCGCGCAACACTTCATTCCACGGCCGAGATCCGAAAATTGGTGTTAAACTATCCGAGCTTTGTAAGCGCGAGTTTTTTCGAGCTCGCCGAAGAGACAAAAGGAACGTGAGGGCTTGCTGCCGTTGTCGAGTGCAACGATAGACTCGATCGACTCGAATTCCGTGCGAAACAATCGAAATCAATCGCATCCGCACGGCGATGAGAGGCCTGCAGCGGCTTTTCGCGAGTGTTCTTCTTCCTCGTTTTTTTTGTTTTTTTTGTTTTTTTTACCTTCTGGTCCATGAGCGTGCAAAAGTGTGTATCTATCTGTGCAGCATGCTACTTTTTTTTACACTGCCGGTCAGCATGATGACGCCGCTGCGATCTTCTATTTACGTCGTGCACGACCGGCTGCAAATTGCGGATTGATCGGTTAGCACGGCGCGCTTTATTTCAGGCGTGCTATTAGATTTAGATGTGAAAATAATCATGATCGATCGCGAGACTGACAGCAAATTTAATCCCTCTTGTGTCTCATTGTATTCTACTGCGCTACAACGCTTACGAATGCAATCGCGCGAAATTGCCAAACAAACGCGAAAGTATCCTCTAAAATTTTTCGAGAAACGATAGAAAGATTGATATCAATTTTTGCAAAAGAAAAAAAAAAGTAGAGAGCCACATCTATCTCTGGCCGCGATTCGCCGTGAAGCTTACCTGATCGTTGCCACTCGTCGCTCTGTCGGTGCATCGACATCCTGGTCCCGGCATTATGACGGCGCGTCGACGTCGTTGCTGCCTTCGTTCGGCTCGCGCATGCACGCCGATTCCAGATGCTTGTTCAAGTACGACTTGAGGGCGAACGACTTGTGACACGTCGGGCACTCGTAGTTTTTGTCGGCCGAATGCGTCTGCATGTGCGCCCGCAGATTCGAGCGATCGGCGAACGCCTTGCCGCAGTGAGCGCATCCGTAGGGCTTCTCGCCGGTGTGACTACGCAGATGACCCTGAAGCAACCAGGGCCGTGAGAACATCTTGCCGCAGATCCCGCAACTGTGCGTCAGCTTGTGCGTCAAAACGTGCATCGCTAGGGCGGGCATGCTGACGTACGCCTTGCCGCAGTGGATGCACTTCTTGGCCGATTGCGAGTCGATGCTGCGATGCGTCTGCTTGTGCCGCGACAGGTTCGACGAGGTCGCGTATTGCTTGCCTGAAGGAAACGTACGGGGTTGACGAGGGACTGAATACTTGAGCCATATATCCGCTAAGTCGTGCGAGATTGTGTTCACGATATTCAAGTCAATCAAAATTAATCCGTTCATATTATATAAATCCGCGAACGGCAAGATAAAGTAATATTATATAAAATTATGTAAACGTAATGTACAAAATCGTACAAGTTTATACACAATTATTATGTATTATATATGTAGAAAAAAACAGCGTACTTTGAGGATATCTCTCTCATATAATCTAATTTTGAACTAATTTCAAGTTAAAATTAAAATTTTTTAAGTTATTTCGAATAAAAGCACTTTGAATACGATATCTGTATTTATATTGTTTTCGTTTTTTAATCATTTCTATTGTTGGAAATAGAATTTTTCTACATCACATAAAATTATAAATAGAATTCTACCTCGAATTCTGTTACAAATTAGATGATTTAAAGTGGGTTTAATATAAATGCTATTGAGAGCATATGATATGTTTTCCTCTTTAGCGCTCTTTTCAGCTCGATGCAAGAGTGTTTCAATCATAATTTAATATACTTATTAATTCTCAAAACATTCTGAATATTAGTACAATTAACATTAACGTTTTCATCAGTCAATATAATTTTAAAAATACTTTCTATACTGAATTTTTTTTAATCAGAAGTAAATTTGTCACAAATACATATTAAAATAAATACATCTCTGAGGCCAAAATAAAAATTCGTTATATCGCGTGTTCAAAATAAAAAGTCTAAAAATCGTAAAACCGAGAACTGAGAAAATTAATAAACTTCGATAAAACAGTTTCAATGAAAAGAGAGATTGTTATACAGGATTTCGTTTTAGCCGAACGCGTCGCAGAATTAATTTAATTATTTTCAACTCACCACACTCGCAGCACACGTAACGACCGACCTTGGTGGCCTCGGGTGCCTCGACCGGCTCGTTCTCCTGATTCTTTTTCGCGACGGGCGCCTTCTTATTTTTCGACCTGCCGTCCGACACCAGTAACGTGTCGTAGGTGTAGCTGGCCGTTTTCACTCCTTCCGCCTGCTCAGTGCTGGTCTGCACCTCCTTGTCCTTCTGCGTCGGCTGCGAATTCGGATTACTGTTTTCGATATCACTGCTGCATTCGGAGGTCGGCGGTGTCAGCGGCGGCGCCGCTTCAATTTGTTGCTGCTGCTGCTGCTGCTGCTGCTGCTGCTGCTGCTGCTGCTGCTGCTGCAACGGCTGTTGTTGTATCTGCGGCTGCTGTTGCAATGGCTGCGGCGGCTGTTGCGGCAGCTGATGCTGCGGCTGCGAAGCGACTATCGGCGTGCACGGTATAGCGGACGTGCTGTACGTCAGCAGGATCTCTTGCACCGGTGACAGAGGTATGAAGACGCTGCCCGTCGGCACGATGGTCGCGCTAGACTCGTAAATAATACCGGCGGCCGCGGCGGGCTGTTGCTGCGGCTGCTGCTGCGTCTGATGATGGTGGCTGTAGATGGTGGTCGAGGTAGTCAAGTCGATCGTGTTCACCTGATAAATCGGCTGCTCGGCCGGCTGGTAGACCGTCATTTCCTGCACGTCGCTCGCCGGCGCCTCGATCACGCTCTGGGGCCCGATAGCGACGACGCTCGGCGGCGGTAACGGCGGCAGCGACCGGGACAGCTCCAGAAGATCGTGCGCCGCCTCTGTTTCCGCCGCGGAGCGGTCCTTAAACATGGACGAAAACACGGGCACGGGCACGACGCAGGACGACGCGGGCGACAGTCGTATCGTCTTGGCGTCGGACGTTCTCGACTGCTCCGACGTGTCCTCCAGGCGGTAGAGCGTCGACGCGCCGGACGGCGGGGACGGTTCGCCGGTCGACGGGGCGTGCAACGTCGCGATAGACGTCGCGATCTCCGCGGATCTGTCGGAGGCCGTTCGCACGCCCGACGGAGGCGAGGCGGCCGCCGTCGTCGCCGTCTCCTTGGCGGGCGAGACGATCGATTCTGTGGAGGGTGCGATGGTCGGTGACGCCGTCGTGGTGCACGCGATCACGGTGGTCCTCTCCACCCTCGTCGTCATCGAGTAGTCCGTTGTTGCCGCGGGTGCTGTCGCGCTGACCGATGATATCGACGATGACGTTGACGCCGTCGTTGTTGCGGTCGTCGCGACACTCGCATCGCCCGATTGCCCCTTCGGGGGCTCCGCGTCGGGCGCAGCGGGAGCCGTGACGGCCGTCGAGTCCCTCGGTTGCGTGTTGAGACATTCTGGAATTATAAAGATTAAGTTTCACTCGCCGTTTCGTGATACTATTGATTACCGCGCCATTAGGTAAGAATAAAATAAGTTAGCCGATTCAAAGCAGCTCGTGTTATTATGAAAACCGTGTGCCGCCGCGACGGAATCGCGGGGGGGGGGGGATGGAGCAGCGTGTAATCTCGTTCCTTCGCTTTCATTTGACTTTTTAATCGAAGATTTAACGACGCCGCGCGGGACTTTAAATGGGAATGCCGAGAAGAGTATCCGATTCTCGTTACCGGCGCGATAGCAAAGAGTGTCGAACCTTGATGATGGCAGGAGGAAGTGCAGCGGTAGGCGCAGGAGGGGGATGGGATGATGCACAGTACGGATTGCGGGGGTGGGGGTAGCGGGATTATGACGGCAAATATGTTAGAAACGAGGTCAAAGGGGATGGGAGTACCAAGGAGGTCTCCCGGAGTAAGCGGATATAAAATTTCACGATAACTCGGTTATGAAAGTGCACGTTTCGTTTTAAGAGCGACAGTCTTCTTCATGCGGACGGATCGCGATCCCGTTTTAATATTTCTGCGTCGTTGTTTTCGTACGTCGCGCGTGCATCGACAAAATGAATTTTTATCACGCGCGAGGAGTGTCACTTCTCGCGGCTGCATCGACGGTTATGAATTATTATGCAAATGCAGGTGTCCTGTCTTTTCGCGTCGTATAAAATTATTTCTGTTTGTGCCGCGTAAGTTTTTTACCCACTTCGGATATGTGCAACTTTTTCGTCACGAGTCGCACGATCGCGAGAGGCATATTCTGATCGTAAAAAAAATATTTACCAGGATGTATTACTATGTAAATGTAAAACTGCAAAATTAATATGTTGTCGTGAATACTGATTACATATTTTTGTGTTGATAGCATGCGTCGTTGCGAGTATGTTGATTTCAGATTTGTATAGTTGAGAAATGATTGAATGAAAATTAAGATTTCATCTTTGATTCCGTCATTTCTTTAAAATTGCGAAGAACTTTCAAATTAATCATGTTAAAGAAAAATAATGACGAAAAAAAGCCCTAATTTTTATTCAATATAATATATGATTTCATAATTATCCGTCTTCAGATTAGCATACTTAATAATACTTGATAATTTTCTCGATGTCTTAATCTCAATGTTATCTTTATGAATATGGAAATAAATTAATTTTCTTAATTACACTATGTATCCAAATATTTTTAATTTTGAAGTTTCAATAAAAATCTCATTAATTGTCAGGCGTTTAACTCGCACTTTTGTAGGTGTACCTTTTGGACAGAGACGCAATCATTTTCAGCCAATTTCAAATTACTTGTAGCACAAGCGTGCAGAATTTTCACCTCTTCGTGTCGACGATGTGCTGTAAACGCGCATCGCCATTACGATGATTCTGAGTACTGCCTTTGTAACTGCATTTACCGTCTCGGCAAGTTTCGCATGCCATTTTCGCCGTTCACACGAGAGGCGGATGCGCCGTACAAGTAGTAACGCCACGGAGAATTCCGACAATTAAGGTCGTTTTGTTGCGACCAGGCAACGCATTGTCGGGAATTACGCGGTGCGCAACGGCATATGCCATTATTACTTGATAATTCGATACAAACGCATATCGGGCGCTAAAGTGAATTTCGCGGAATCACGTTAAAGCTGCCGAAGCAAAGAATAGAAGGAAAAAAAAAGTCTCTCGCATTTTTTTAATAGCTCCAAGATTATCCTGGTATCAAAAAATATATTCACCATATTTATATATTTTCCCCATATTGTTTACGTAACGTGTAATTTTAATCTCTCGTGTCTTGTCTGTCGTGGGGAGTTTCGAGACAAAACAACCCTCCCTCCGACTCGTGAATCGATCGCTCGCAAAAATAATTATCGCACCCGAGTTGCAATAACGATCGCTAAACTCCCGGCAAAATACGCGGGATGCGGCGTACCTTGTGCAACAGGGGGTGCGACGCACCCTTCGACGGGCGAGACGGGCAGCGGTATGGTGGTCGGCGACGGCGTGCTCCTTCCGCGACCCCAGCTTTCGAATCCTCTGGCAACGCTGGTTATGTACTTGTTGCACAGAGCCTTCTTTACCATGTAGCACCGCGGCATCTTGCCTTGATCGTCGTTTCCTCCCACCGGGATTAATATCGAAATATCGCTCTAAGATCACCAAACAACCGCGCGAGTAAACAACCCTCTTGAGTCTTGAGTATCCTTTTCCCTGCCTCCTTCCTCGGTCCCTCGGCGTGACGGCGATATTTTATCGCGAGTTCTTGCTCCCGGATCGAAGGCTATCGATCCGCGTGTCGCGCGAAACGAGTCTCCCTTCGCGAAGAAGCTCTGCTCTTTCTCGGCGAGTTTTATGCGCGCGATAGAAATGTGTGCGGCTCAACGTGCGTCGTCAATCGTCCTGCAGCGCGAGCGGAAACGCTGGATTTATCTTCCTGGTGGTCTCCGCGGAGGCCACCAGGAACACGACGTCGATCAATTTCTCAATCGATGCTCCAACTGTTCGCCCCATCTGCGCGCTCCCTCTCAGGTATTCTCAGACGCGACATGGTCGTCTCGTGTTGATCTATCGACAGCGGACTGCTCTAATTAGATAATTCTCCCTGCAGCAAGAATGAGCGGGGGACGATTCTCCTCAGGGAAGATGAAACGCTCGCGATCAGCTCAGCTATCCCGGCGATATATCGCCGTTTAACCCTAGACGTCGTTGCACGATTATTCAATAGGATTCTGTGTAAACGTATATATTTGTATAATTATATATACAGGGATGAGAGTGGGTGACGATCAACGATGTCTATATATATACGTGTATACATTCATATTAAAATATCTCTCAAGTGAAGCGAGCGCTGGGAGGAGCTTCGATCGTGTCTCGATCGAGTCTCGAACGAGGGAACGTGTGCGATGTCGGTTCTTGTTTTTCTTTTGAAAGGGGTGGAGGGGCGGGGGGGAAATTCTTCTTCTTAAGCGCGATTACAAGTGCGAGAGTTGTCGGGAGGGGGATGGATTGGCGGAAAGCGGTGTGCGGCTTGCCTTTGCTTTGTTCCTCGAGATTACCTTGTTTGTAGTATTGCTTTCGTTGTATTCACGGGTGGAAAATTTACATGTTTTTTCACGACGCCGGTCTCATACCTGCCGCCTGTGTGCCATCCGCGAGACGTACTTACACGTACTTCTACGCGTTCCACTCATCTAGCTTGTCTCCCTCTCTTCACGTCCGTTTCACCTCCGCGATTTCGTTGTCCTTCGCTTTCTCCGGCAGTAACATGCGTAACCGCGGAAAGAAGACGCGCGAGATTTCCGTCGCTCCGACTTCGCGAGGGAATGCGATTGCGCTCACTCGCCCGGCTGGTCCACCAGGTGATATCGCGTCTCGTTGACGCTCGATGCGACCGCTGATCTAGGACGCGCGCGTCTCGACGACAATAGCCTCATCGCGACGATCTCGGATTCACACCGACGGCGACGAGTTAATTAGGGCGGTGTATAAAAGAGAAAGATCTCGGTTGGCTTTCGAAATTAGGATGCGCTTAGAAAATGACTGTCCGCCGTTCTGTCGAGTCTTCTGTATCGCGCCGAACGCACGAGATCTCCACAGTCGACGGGCATGTGCCGTTGCTCCCTTGACGATTCCGTAAGCGTAACGGCTTCGCGAGCGCTTCGATACGCGCGAACAGTTGATTTTCTATACGGAATTGGTCCTCTGAATTACTCGGCGCGCGTCATTAGTTTCCCCCGAATCGCAGGAACTCGCAGGAAACGGATAGTCTGATACCCTGAGGATGAAAGAGCAATTTTTCCAACACGTCCGTTCTGTTTTCCTTCCAGCGCGTTTTTTTTCCTCTTCTCGTTCTAATCCAAAGTGTCTCGCGACGCAGGATGAGAATGCCAATCTCCTCACAAGATACGACCCGATAATTCCCGACTGAAGAAACACTGCATCACAAGCTGACTTTCTCTCCGCTCAAAGCTGTGCACGGCGGGTGGAAATTAGCGAGAGAATTTCCTTTCGTCTTCTCTCCCTTCCGCTTTTCACTCGAAATCCAGTAAATCCGCATCGAAATATTCCCTTCCGAGTTTCCGTGGTTTTCACTCTCGCCGTATTGCCATCCTCGCCTTCTTCGCCCGCGTTTCCGGGGCCGGGGCTCGTTCGTTGCAGCGCGGTGTTTCCGTTCGGCGATTCAACGATCCCTCGCGACCGCTGTTTCCTCCTTTTTCGAAA